GTTTTTTAAATGAAATGATTGCTCTTCTTAAATTGTAATGTACATGTGTTTTTAAAGTAAAATCAAATGTCAAACACTGACAGTCTCCTGTTTTTAATTGTTGTTCTGCGCAGTACCACGTTCAGCCTGTTGGTGTCAGTAGAGAATCAGAGGAGACTATGACAAACATATAAACAGTATATTCATAAACACTCTAATTTGTCTTTAGTTATTATTTGAGATTACTTTAAACATGCGTTAAAATTGGACGTCTGGAAATAAAAATAACTTATTATTAATATTATTATAAATCTACAATGTCATTTTCATTTATTTTTGGCCCCAAATTCTGCCTCATTCTGACAAATGTTTCTAAAACCATTTGTGGGTCATAACGACAGAAGTTCAGTGTGTTCTGTTATAATGTTTTACAGCCTTCAGTATCAGCAGGGAGGGTTTTATTATCACTGACGGTAACAATCACCATAACCAGTAAATAATCTACTCACCTGGAGGGAAAGACTGATATTAAACACACAGACTTTCATTCTTTAAAAAAACATAACTTTTTCCAGGTCCTTCTTCTATTCTATCCTGCTGTTTGCCTTTGCTCTCGCATATGGAGTGAAACTATGCTTTAAAGCACATATGTCAAAATCAGGCCCGGGGGCCAAATCAGGCCCGTGGTGAATTTAATTTCGGCCCGCAGGATCATTTCTAATTCCTATTAGATCTGGCCCGCCGGTATATTGCACGCACACCTTCACTCCATCCTGAGGGTCTCCTCAGCTCAGAGCCTGAGCCCAAACATTGATGAACTTGCACCCAAGATGAGATGCCAAGTATCTGAGCTAGCATCACAGAGCAGCAACCTGAGTTTAATGGATGCTTCCTTCTGCACTTTCTCTCAGGACAACAGGGCATGTTTGGTTTTCTCTTTGAGGGGAATAGTTTTGTTGAAGCTGTTGTTGGCCTGTGGGAAAATGTAATCATAAGAAATGACTCTGGAAAAGCTGCAGATAGAGCCATAAGAAATGAATGCAACTGATTATTTAATGTTTAATGTTGTTTTTATAGGCAATAATTTAAGCTTTGTTAGTTCCAGGTTTAATATGTGCAGTAAATTCATTTCAATAAATTCTGCAATAAACATTGAACCAGTCCGGCCCTCGACTTGTACCCATTTTTTTATTTTGGCCCACTGTGTATTTTAGTTTGACCCCCCGGCTGTAAAGGAATCAAATCATCATTAATATATCAATTACTTACGTTACCTGGAATTATCAAAAAAAGAGACAGAAATTATTGATTATTAATAATAATAGAAATGGTTAATTTGTGGGTGAATTATTCCCTTCACAAACATGTCAAGTTATTTCAAAATAAAGGTCAGATTTTACTGAGAATAAATAAATTAATACACATTTATTGAACTTCATTTTGTCCATTTTGTATTTTCACTACATTGATCGCAGTAGAAAAATTAACATTCAATATTTTATAATTATTATTGTGTTTATTGACTTTCAGTTATACAGATGAAAACTACATTTCTTGTACTTTACAAACAAAAGAGCAAACAGGGCAATACGATTATGTATAATTGACAGAGGATTTTAACACAAACAATACACATACAAACAAAAAAGCTAAATAATTCAATATATAAAGATTGATTGATGTCCAAAATCAGGAGCAGGAACAATTTCATGAAATTATAAATATGAGTTCCTCTAGTTTAAAGTGCTTAACCATAAAATATGTTTTTTTTTCAAGTTTAGAAGATCTACTCAACTTGACTTAATCTAAATATTTCACACGCACAGGAACAATGTTATGATTTAAAAGGGCCCTAAAATGCACATTTTCAGATTCATATCAGTATGTAGTTTCTCTACTTTAAAGAGTCCTCTCCTGCTGATGTTCAGGTGTATATCAGTGTGTAGTGTCTCTACTTTAAAGAGTCCTCTCCTGCTGATGTTCAGGTGTACATCAGTATGTAGTGTCTCTACTTTAAAGAGTCCTCTCCTGCTGATGTTCAGGTGTATATCAGTATGTAGTGCCTCTACTTTAAAGAGTCGTCTCCTGCTGATGTTCAGGTGTATATCAGTATGTAGTGTCTATACTTTAAAGAGTCCTCTCCTGCTGATGTTCAGGTGTATATCAGTATGTAGTGTCTCTACTTTAAAGAGTCCTCTCCTGCTGATGTTCAGGTGTATATCAGTATGTAGTGTCTCTACTTTAAAGAGTCCTCTCCTGCTGATGTTCAGGTGTATATCAGTATGTAGTGTCTCTACTTTAAAGAGTCCTCTCCTGCTGATGTTCAGGTGTATATCAGTATGTAGTGTCTCTACTTTAAAGAGTCCTCTCCTGCTGATGTTCAGGTGTATATCAGTATGTAGTGTCTCTACTTTAAAGAGTCCTCTCCTGCTGATGTTCAGGTGTATATCAGTATGTAGTGTCTCTACTTTAAAGAGTTGTCTCCTGCTGATGTTCAGGTGTATATCAGTATGTAGTGTCTCTACTTTAAAGAGTCCTCTCCTGCTGATGTTCAGGTGTATATCAGTATGTAGTGTCTCTACTTTAAAGAGTCGTCTCCTGCTGATGTTCAGGTGTATATCAGTATGTAGTGTCTCTACTTTAAAGAGTCCTCTCCTGCTGATGTTCAGGTGTATATCAGTATGAAGTGTCTCTACTTTAAAGAGTCGTCTCCTGCTGATGTTCAGGTGTATATCAGTGTAGTGTCTCTACTTTAAAGAGTCCTCTCCTGCTGATGTTCAGGTGTATATCAGTATGTAGTGTCTCTACTTTAAAGAGTCGTCTCCTGCTGATGTTCAGGTGTATATCAGTATGTAGTGTCTCTACTTTAAAGAGTCCTCTCCTGCTGATGTTCAGGTGTATATAGTGCCTCTACTTTAAAGAGTCGTCTCCTGCTGATGTTCAGGTGTATATCAGTATGTAGTGTCTATACTTTAAAGAGTCCTCTCCTGCTGATGTTCAGGTGTGTATCAGTATGTAGTGTCTCTACTTTAAAGAGTCCTCTCCTGCTGATGTTCAGGTGTATATCAGTATGTAGTGTCTCTACTTTAAAGAGTCCTCTCCTGCTGATGTTCAGGTGTATATCAGTATGTAGTGTCTCTACTTTAAAGAGTCCTCTCCTGCTGATGTTCAGGTGTATATCAGTATGTAGTGTCTCTACTTTAAAGAGTCCTCTCCTGCTGATGTTCAGGTGTATATCAGTATGTAGTGTCTCTACTTTAAAGAGTCGTCTCCTGCTGATGTTCAGGTGTATATCAGTATGTAGTGTCTCTACTTTAAAGAGTCCTCTCCTGCTGATGTTCAGGTGTATATCAGTATGTAGTGTCTCTACTTTAAAGAGTACTCTCCTGCTGATGTTCAGGTGTATATCAGTATGTAGTGTCTCTACTTTAAAGAGTCCTCTCCTGCAGATGTTCATGTGTATATCAGTATGTAGTGTCTCTACTTTAAAGAGTCCTCTCCTGCTGATGTTCAGGTGTATATCAGTATGTAGTGTCTCTACTTTAAAGAGTCCTCTCCTGCTGATGTTCAGGTGTATATCAGTATGTAGTGTCTCTACTTTAAAGAGTCCTCTCCTGCTGATGTTCAGGTGTATATCAGTATGTAGTGTCTCTACTTTAAAGAGTCCTCTCCTGCTGATGTTCAGGTGTATATCAGTATGTAGTGTCTCTACTTTAAAGAGTTGTCTCCTGCTGATGTTCAGGTGTATATCAGTATGTAGTGTCTCTACTTTAAAGAGTCCTCTCCTGCTGATGTTCAGGTGTATATCAGTATGTAGTGTCTCTACTTTAAAGAGTCCTCTCCTGCTGATGTTCAGGTGTATATCAGTATGTAGTGTCTCTACTTTAAAGAGTCCTCTCCTGCTGATGTTCAGGTGTATATCAGTATGTAGTGTCTCTACTTTAAAGAGTCCTCTCCTGCTGATGTTCAGGTGTATATCAGTATGTAGTGTCTCTACTTTAAAGAGTCCTCTCCTGCTGATGTTCAGGTGTATATCAGTATGTAGTGTCTCTACTTTAAAGAGTCGTCTCCTGCTGATGTTCAGGTGTATATCAGTATGTAGTGTCTCTACTTTAAAGAGTCCTCTCCTGCTGATGTTCAGGTGTATATCAGTATGTAGTGCCTCTACTTTAAAGAGTCGTCTCCTGCTGATGTTCAGGTGTATATCAGTATGTAGTGTCTATACTTTAAAGAGTCCTCTCCTGCTGATGTTCAGGTGTGTATCAGTATGTAGTGTCTCTACTTTAAAGAGTCCTCTCCTGCTGATGTTCAGGTGTATATCAGTATGTAGTGTCTCTACTTTAAAGAGTCCTCTCCTGCTGATGTTCAGGTGTATATCAGTATGTAGTGTCTCTACTTTAAAGAGTCCTCTCCTGCTGATGTTCAGGTGTATATCAGTATGTAGTGTCTCTACTTTAAAGAGTCCTCTCCTGCTGATGTTCAGGTGTATATCAGTATGTAGTGTCTCTACTTTAAAGAGTCCTCTCCTGCTGATGTTCAGGTGTATATCAGTATGTAGTGTCTCTACTTTAAAGAGTCCTCTCCTGCTGATGTTCAGGTGTATATCAGTGTAGTGTCTCTACTTTAAAGAGTCCTCTCCTGCTGATGTTCAGGTGTATATCAGTATGTAGTGTCTCTACTTTAAAGAGTCCTCTCCTGCTGATGTTCAGGTGTATATCAGTATGTAGTGTCTCTACTTTAAAGAGTCCTCTCCTGCTGATGTTCAGGTGTATATCAGTATGTAGTGTCTCTACTTTAAAGAGTCCTCTCCTGCTGATGTTCAGGTGTATATCAGTATGTAGTGTCTCTACTTTAAAGAGTCCTCTCCTGCTGATGTTCAGGTGTATATCAGTATGTAGTGTCTCTACTTTAAAGAGTCCTCTCCTGCTGATGTTCAGGTGTATATCAGTATGTAGTGTCTCTACTTTAAAGAGTCCTCTCCTGCTGATGTTCAGGTGTATATCAGTATGTAGTGTCTCTACTGTGACATGTCTCCATGCTTTAATGTTCAAAAAGCTCTGTATTTTTCCTCATACTGCCTGTGCTGCAGCCCCTCTTTTCACCCTCTGTCTAAAACCTGTATAACAAACTACAGGAAAGCCCAAAAAAGCAGAATAATGCCTTTTTAATCAGGTTACACTACATTAATTATGACTCGTGAAGTATTTACAAAAAGTGTTTACATTTGCCTTAAATCTTTTCAATATTCAGATCTATCCAATAGTTATGAGTTTCTGTAGTTGTAAGTGCTCTACCATAAAATACAAGTTGTTTTTTGTGTGTTTTTTTTAAGAACTACTACGTGGAAATTATCTCAATGCTTTTAAATCTGGAAATAATATTGTTAATAAGCTTAAACTTATTTAATTATGACACATTCAATATTTACAAAAAGCTATAAAACTAACATTTTACCTCAAATCTAAACCTCTCAGGTCTTATGAATTGAATTCATTAATTTCCTTGTTTTTTTTTATCCAATCGCTGTGTTTGAGTCCTGCTCCTGTGTCGCAGTTGCCAGGTAATGGATTGATAAGATTACACGACTGCTGATAAACCCTAATTAAATGTATCATGGGTGTTTCCTGCTGCGTGGTTTCCTCTCACAGATCAACGGTCAGCTCTTCGTCATCCTCTGAATCTTCTCCTGGATCCTCCATCTTCACCCCGAGCCCACTGTCCAGATCTGCATCGTCGAACATCACTCTGGGAGTTTTCATTTTCTCTTCCTCCTCCTGCTCTTCCTCCTCGCTGTCGTCCTCTCTGCTGTCGGGGATGATGACCACCTCCTCTTTGGCGTCGGGGTCGACGTCCTCCTTGAACCACACGGATTTGTACCCTTCGTCCAGACGCCTCTCTTTTGTCAGGATGGGTTTCACCTCCTTCTCGTTGTCCGTTTTGTCCGATCCCGCCTCACTAGTGTCGTCTCGCAGGACGTTAAGCGCCACCGAAGGCTTCAAGATTTCCTCATATTGTGGAGATCCTCTAGCCGCCAATCCACCTCCACCTCCAGTGCTGCCTCCATCTTCATCTTCGTCTTTCTGGAAGGCCTCGTTGGTGTACTGGATGCCCTCCTTCTGACCCTTTTGCCCCAGCTGTGGAGGGACGAAGTAACCGGTTAAAATCAAGATTAAAGGTCCCCTATTATACTGTTTTTCATCAATATATCACAGGTCTCAGATATATCCAGAACATGTCTCTGATTGGCTGAAACACCAAACAGGTCATTGCAGCATTACCCATAATCCCCTCTGTTTCAGCCCTGTTTCCAAAGTGATGATTCTCTGTCTGTTACTTTAGATGAAAATAAGGAGCCCCTCCCCACGCCCCTCTGAGAGACATTTGGTTACAAAGAACTCAATGGTGCTCTAGGAGGAGATTCAGGTGATAAGGGGGGGGGGGGGGGTTACCTTGGTTGGTGATTGGCTAATGGTTACACAAGACAAAACATCGTAATGACATCTGTGACGACTCCTACTATCTCCTGTTGTGTGTGTATGGGCGTTTAATGTTCTCTCTTTGTCTGTGTCAGCGTTGATTGAGGACACCTGGCTGCCGGTACCAGAGGAGTAAAAGGCCTGAGTCACGGTGTTTCTCAATCGCGAGTAAAGCTACTCCAGAGCCACTATTTCAAGCATACTTCGTCATCGAGTGCCGCCGAAGGACTGTTCCAATGTCCAGTATACTTGGAATTCTACCGAGCCCGGCGTACTTCGTTAGGAGAAATGTCGAGGCTGCACATTTGTATCCTCCGCGGCCTTAAAATCCCCACAATGCTTTGCGCACGGAACAAATTTCCCCAAAATCTGTGGCGGAAAATGTAAGGCGGGCCTCTCATATGACGCACACCTGCACACTTGCTAGCCTGTTCCACTCTTCGTTTTCCAAATGCAATTCCGAAGCAAGATGCTCGGCAGACATGTGCTACCAAGCAAGTGTACTCGCGATTGAGAAACACCCCCAGAGTCTCGATGGCTCTCTCCGCTGAGGATCTGTTTTGGGAGAGCAGCTACTTCGTTTATGCTTTTGCTTTACCTTTATATTAGTTTTGCCATTCAAACACCTCACACCACACCATGTTCACACACCCACATATACACCACTGACCTTACTGATTAACACAACTTAACGTTGGGTTATTGTAATAAATATATTTTCTTATATCTTGTCCTGCACGCTTCCACGGAGCCAGGCCATGACAAATCATAAAGTGGCCAAAATCTGATCAGCTCATTTTCAAACAGGTTTTTATAGAAATGGATCAAAAAGAGAGAGAATCTTTGTTCCCGAAGCTTTCAGAGTCTCTTTCCACAGAGGGGACACATGTTGATGTAGAAGAGACATGAAGAAGAGGGGACACATGTTGATGTAGAAGAGACATGAAGAAGAGGGGACACATGTTGATGTAGAAGAGACATGAAGAAGAGGGGACACATGTTGATGTAGAAGAGACATGAAGAAGAGGGGACACATGTTGATGTAGAAGAGACATGAAGAAGAGGGGACACATGTTGATGTAGAAGAGACATGAAGAAGAGGGGACACATGTTGATGAAGAAGAGACATGAAGAAGAGGGGACACATGTTGATGTAGAAGAGACATGAAGAAGAGGGGACACATGTTGATGTAGGAGAGACATGGAGAAGAGGGGACACATGTTGATGTAGAAGAGACATGGAGAAGAGGGGACACATGTTGATGTAGAAGAGACATGAAGAAGAGGGGACACATGTTGATGTAGAAGAGACATGAAGAAGAGGGGACACATGTTGATGTAGAAGAGACATGGAGAAGAGGGGACACATGTTGATGTAGAAGAGACATGAAGAAGAGGGGACACATGTTGATGTAGAAGAGACATGGAGAAGAGGGGACACATGTTGATGTAGAAGAGACATGAAGAAGAGGGGACACATGTTGATGAAGAAGAGACATGAAGAAGAGGGGACACATGTTGATGTAGAAGAGACATGAAGAAGAGGGGACACATGTTGATGTAGGAGAGACATGGAGAAGAGGGGACACATGTTGATGTAGAAGAGGCATGAAGAAGAGGGGACACATGTTGATGTAGAAGAGACATGAAGAAGAGGGGACACATGTTGATGTAGAAGAGACATGAAGAAGAGGGGACACATGTTGATGTAGAAGAGACATGGAGAAGAGGGGACACATGTTGATGTAGAAGAGACATGAAGAAGAGGGGACACATGTTGATGAAGAAGAGACATGAAGAAGAGGGGACACATGTTGATGTAGAAGAGACATGAAGAAGAGGGGACACATGTTGATGTAGGAGAGACATGGAGAAGAGGGGACACATGTTGATGTAGAAGAGACATGAAGAAGAGGGGACACATGTTGATGTAGAAGAGACATGAAGAAGAGGGGACACATGTTGATGTAGAAGAGACATGAAGAAGAGGGGACACATGTTGATGTAGAAGAGACATGGAGAAGAGGGGACACATGTTGATGTAGAAGAGACATGAAGAAGAGGGGACACATGTTGATGTAGAAGAGACATGAAGAAGAGGGGACACATGTTGATGTAGGAGAGACATGAAGAAGAGGGGACACATGTTGATGTAGAAGAGACATGGAGAAGAGGGGACACATGTTGATGTAGAAGAGACATGAAGAAGAGGGGACACGTGTTGATGTAGAAGAGACATGAAGAAGAGGGGACACATGTTGATGTAGAAGAGACATGGAGAAGAGGGGACACATGTTGATGTAGAAGAGACATGAAGAAGAGGGGACACATGTTGATGTAGAAGAGACATGAAGAAGAGGGGACACATGTTGATGTAGAAGAGACATGAAGAAGAGGGGACACATGTTGATGTAGAAGAGACATGGAGAAGAGGGGACACATGTTGATGTAGAAGAGACATGAAGAAGAGGGGACACATGTTGATGAAGAAGAGACATGAAGAAGAGGGGACACATGTTGATGTAGAAGAGACATGAAGAAGAGGGGACACATGTTGATGTAGGAGAGACATGGAGAAGAGGGGACACATGTTGATGTAGAAGAGACATGAAGAAGAGGGGACACATGTTGATGTAGAAGAGACATGAAGAAGAGGGGACACATGTTGATGTAGAAGAGACATGAAGAAGAGGGGACACATGGTGATGAAGAAGAGACATGAAGAAGAGGGGACACATGTTGATGTAGAAGAGACATGAAGAAGAGGGGACACATGGTGATGAAGAAGAGACATGAAGAAGAGGGGACACATGTTGATGTAGAAGAGACATGAAGAAGAGGGGACACATGTTGATGTAGAAGAGACATGAAGAAGAGGGGACACATGTTGATGAAGAAGAGACATGAAGAAGAGGGGACACATGTTGATGTAGAAGAGACATGAAGAAGAGGGGACACATGGTGATGAAGAAGAGACATGAAGAAGAGGGGACACATGGTGATGTAGAAGAGGCATGAAGAAGAGGGGACATGTTGATGAAGAAGAGACATGAAGAAGAGGGGACACATGTTGATGTAGAAGAGACATGAAGAAGAGGGGACACATGGTGATGAAGAAGAGACATGAAGAAGAGGGGACACATGTTGATGTAGAAGAGACATGAAGAAGAGGGGACACATGTTGATGTAGAAGAGACATGAAGAAGAGGGGACACATGTTGATGAAGAAGAGACATGAAGAAGAGGGGACACATGTTGATGTAGAAGAGACATGAAGAAGAGGGGACACATGTTGATGTAGAAGAGACATGAAGAAGAGGGGACACATGTTGATGTAGAAGAGACATGAAGAAGAGGGGACACATGTTGATGTAGAAGAGGCATGAAGAAGAGGGGACATGTTGATGAAGAAGAGACATGAAGAAGAGGGGACACAAGGTGATGAAGAAGAGACATGAAGAAGAGGGGACACATGTTGATGTAGAAGAGACATGAAGAAGAGGGGACACATGTTGATGTAGAAGAGACATGAAGAAGAGGGGACACATGGTGATGAAGAAGAGACATGAAGAAGAGGGGACACATGTTGATGTAGAAGAGACATGAAGAAGAGGGGACACATGTTGATGTAGAAGAGACATGTAGAAGAGGGGACACATGTTGATGTAGGATATGAAGAAGAGGGGACACATGTTGATGTAGAAGAGACATGAAGAAGAGGGGACACATGTTGATGTAGAAGAGACATGAAGAAGAGTGGACACATGTTGATGTAGAAGAGACATGAAGAAGAGTGGACACATGTTGATGTAGAAGAGACATGAAGAAGAGGGGACACATGTTGATGTAGAAGAGACATGAAGAAGAGGGGACACATGTTGATGTAGAAGAGACATGAAGAAGAGGGGACACATGTTGATGTAGAAGAGACATGAAGAAGAGGGGACACATGTTGATGTAGAAGAGACATGAAGAAGAGGGCACACATGTTGATGTAGAAGAGACATGAAGAAGAGGGGACACATGTTGATGTAGAGGAGACATGAAGAAGAGGGGACACATGTTGATGTAGAAGAGACATGAACAAGTGGATTTTGCATAATGGTTGACCTTTAAGTTTAATTGTGAGGTACTTGTACTTGTATTTAAGTACAGTACTTGAGTAAATGTACTTAGTTACTTTACACCACTGCCTTTAAACTCACAGAGCTTTGGAAGAGGCTGGCTTCGGCGATCTTCCTCCAGTCGGCCTTCCCCCTCCGAACGCGTACAGCTAGAACCACGATGACCACGAGGCAGACGAACAGCAGGACGCCGAGCGAGGCACCGAGCGCCGCCATGTCCACCGCGCCAAACCCCCCCCCCGGCACGATGACTGCAGGGTCAAAGGTACATTAATACAGGGGTCAATATCAATACAGGAAAGAACTTAACACACACTGTGAGTTTAGATAAATACAAAGCAGTGAGGAGTGTGTGTGTGTGTTTTCAAGTTGGTGCTCTCCGATTGGTTGATTGCATTTTTACTGCAATTTATTTGGGATTATTCCTGGCTTTTTTTACGACATATTAAAACTTTTTCATGACTTTTTTGTCGTTTTTTTTTATGTTATTTTATATCCTGACAAGTATTTTTGGCAAACTATATTGTTAATAGTGATACAATAGTATATAATCACTTTTGTATGACAATTTTAGTTTCATGACATAATATAATGTGTTATAACCAACTACAGTATAGCATTTGTTTTAACGTGCTTTATTGTAATTTGTTATGGCATATATATTATGACTTTTTTTGACTTTCTTATGGTATTTTATATCTAGACATGTTTTATAGCATTTCATATAATCATTATTTTATGACATAATACTGTACATATCTATTTGCCATACTATCTAATTACTTTTGTATTGACCTACAACACTAGTGTTGGAGCGCTAGCCAATAGAAGGGCAAGCAGTGATGTCACTATGTTCAGGAAGTAAACACTCCAATGAAGACGTTTCAGGCTAGCGTGTAGACTTCCTGAATTTTCTTAAATAACTTGCATTTTCTTTATTTTTTCAACTGGAGCCTCGCTGCTCACGTGGTAAACCGTCATTGTTCCAGTTTCTGCATGTTTAAAAAAAATGCTGTGTAAACTGAAAAACAAACAGAGCGCTAACCAATAGGAGCGCGAGTACTGTTACAGAGTGATGTACTGGATCGAGGTTTCAGCATAAATGGACTAGGGAGGCTACGACTTAATTTCAGTCACACAGCAGCGTTAGTGAGGCAGAGTTTGCAAATATTTCACTGTGAATAGACGGCTAGATTGAGGAGTGTGATCTTAACTAAAACGTGGCCTGAGTCAGAATTAGAGAATTTGTTCAAATGTGTTTCCTGAGGGGATCAGAGGAGGAATGGTTTATCCCAGGAGGGTCCAAACTTTTTTCACGAGGGCCACATACAGAGAAATATACGAAGGTCTGGGCCACTCAGAGGTATATCGCCTCATAAGTTCAGTTATAAGTTAGCAAAATCAATCAAATGTAGGTAAATGATGTTTGAGAGTGTTGGCAGCTCATCCCTTACAGCAGAAGCCTCAGAGTGATTATAATAAGGAGAAATAGGAAGGGTGTATTTCAAGCTTGTTATGGAAATAAGTTATTGGGCTTTTTTATTATCAACTAAGATATGTTAGAACATGTTTCCAACTTTAATTGACTGAATTTATTTGAAAAGTGGTCTTATCAGCGCATGAATACTACTGTGTAATATATTTTTAAATGTATAGTCAAGAAGTGCAATGTAAGAAAAGCACAAGTTTCATTTGTGTGTCATTATACTTTTTGAATTTGCTGAGGGCCGATTCAAAATGGTCCGCGGGCCGCATTTGGCCCCCGCGCCGTAGTTTGGACCCCCCTGCTTTATCCTTGTTTTTTGCAGGGAATGTTTTTCTAGAAATCAAGACAGCCTCTTTGGAGGAGAGTTGTTACATAGTGATGTTCTGGAAGTAATCAAAGTGTCTCCACCTGTCGGGGGGTGAGCGGTGCTTTCTGTGGGGAGGCTGTCTGAGCTGGTGGGGTCTGAGACGGAGGGTGAGAGGCTGCTGTCGGTGGGGTTCGGGGTGGAGGTAGTTTCTTCAGTGGTCTCCTGTAGGGCCGTGGTCAGCCTGTCTGTGGTGCTGTCAGGCAGACTGGTGGTGGTGAGACCTGCAGGAGAGCACACCATGAGGCTTAGTAGCCGCTTTCACACCAAGTACTTAGCCGGCACTTGTTCCCACCGAACTCGGGTGAAAAGGTTCGCGCGAACTAGGGACTAGTTCCAGATCCTTTTTGCTGTGAAACCAAATTGTTTTTATCTTTCTCTGTATTTGGATATTTTTAATGTAATACTTATTTATTTGACCTCTTTTGTATTGTACATTTAGAATTTGTATATGTATTATTATTTAGTTGTCCAATGTCATGCTTAACTTTCTTTCATTTTAACTTTATATTTGGATGGTCTTGTTTTAATTTGTTTCTAAAATAATCTTAATCTGTATATTTAAAAAACATTATAATTATTATTTATTTAACTTATTGTTTATTGGCCAATGCTATACTTAATTAATGTATCTTTATCTGTACTTTAAATTGTATTATATGTATTATTTAGTTGTATTTAAAGGTCCCATGTCATGGCCATTTCTACTGATCATAATTCCATTGTTGAGGTCTACTAGAATAGATTTATATTGCTCAATGTTCCAAACACACATTGGTTTCTCACACAGCATCTCTGTATAGTATGTGTATTCACTCTCTGTCCTACACGGCTTGTTGGAGCTCTTGCCCCCCCCCCTCCCTGTGAGCCCACTGTGCTCTGATTGGTCAGCTCGCCCACTCTGTTCTGATGAGTCCACCACCGTCACAGCGGAACATCAGTGATTATGTGTTACAATGGCGTTTGTTAGCAACCAGGAAATGACACCAATAATGACAAACAGATGAGAATGCCGCGTGGGGTCTGGGTGCCGTGTTGGCGGGACGTTGCGGGGCTCGCTGCTCCGCCCTTTGAGGCTCGAGGAGCGGACAGTGTGAGCTGGGTTACTGGTGTCGTTTCCTGGTTGCTGCGTGGGGTCTACGAGACACGGCGAAACTCAGCCTGAGTGCACACACACGTGAGTGTGTGGCGAACTGTGAGTGGAGATCCACGCAGCTGCGGCTGAAAAAAGCTCTATGCAAGTCAATGGGACTCCCTGATAGTTGAAGATCGACGCTAAAGGTCCCCCCACTGCGTTTGATAGTGACGCCAAGGGATCCTGGTGTGTGTGAGGAGCTCCACGGATTGGTCCATTGGGTCGTCGTTACGTCACTTGGCGTTCTGGGGCAGCATAGACAGGTCTTCTCTGTGTTAGAGCTTTACTCGCTACAGGGTGCACTTTGAGGGTTTTTGACTCTGCAGACCGTTTACATGCAGAAAACCCGTCATAACACACAAGGCGACGGGTGATAACCTTTAAATATTCTCCAATGTCCTTCTTAACTTTGCATTTGTATTATTTATTCGACCCTATTTTATTGTCCAATTTCAATGTTTTTTGGGGACATCAGAGCAGACCAACCACAGGATTGTGTCACGCTGAATGTGTGTAAGATAACGGGAAAAGCTGCTTTTTGCTGTGTGAGCGTGTGTTGCAAAATGACAACAAATGATCCTTTAAATCCGCTCTAACATTTCCTGATTTCTTAGAAAGATTCTTGGCAATGTTTTGGGTGGAAACGAAACAATCTGGGACCTAAAGAAATTGTTATAATGAATCAAAAGGAACTTTAAATATTGAAGAATAAGCAGCTTCTTCGACTTCACATAATAATCATAGATGATAGATTCACAAAGAAAAGGCACCAGAACCCTCTAACAGAGGCGCTGGGTAACATTACATGGACGCTATTGAAAATAAATATAAAAAAAGAAAAAGCACTAAAATCAAATACTCATACAAAATATAAAACCCAGTAGAGACAAGTGTACGGTCCAATGTTAGTTGTTATTGATTAGGAGTCAATGGGTTGCAATTCTTGAGAGGTTTTAAAACAAATCAAGCCTTTTCAATTAAACAACATCACAATTATAATTAAAAAGTTGGAACAAAAGCAAAAAAACGTCTGTTATTCCATGTATTTTCTTGTGAAGCATAATGGACAAAGCCAAGAGCATTCCCTTCTGTGTTTTGCAAAAGGACAATAAGTAGTCCATTACAAAATGCAGTACATTTACATGATTCATAAAAAGGTTCCTGGTCTAAACTAGCCTATTGGGGTCAAATTAAAGGATCCTCTTATCTACAGGGGTTAGCAGCTCATTTGCATATTCCAATGTGCATGTAGAAGTTAATTTGGTACATTGGAGGATAACGGAGAGGTTCTCTTACCTGACGTCACCTGCACTGAGAGCTGAGCGGTGTCTGACTCCTCGTTAGTGGAGTCCACCGCCACCACCTGGGACAACAACGTTTAGGTGTTCAATAAATAACATCACAACTATCAAACAGCTGTTATATGTTTGTGCTAGATGTGTGAACTCACCTGCAGAGACAACGTGCCCTCTGGGAGATCCTTCGTCATGAATAAATATCCGTCGATGATGGAGAAATCACTGCTGCCTTTAACGCTGTAGGTGATGTGGGGGTTTATACCCTGGTGAAACACAGATTTAAAGGTAAGAGGAGCACGGCAAGTACTCAGACAACTCAAAAAATACTTTGTATATCAACTAAAACTTAAAGCTGATACAATGAATGTTCTCTTGTTGAGGTTTCCTTTTCCTGTGGTGTGATATATATATGCATGTAAATGGTCTCCAGAGGCTAAAATCATTGTTTTCCCTCCAGAGAGAGTTTCTCAAAGTCAGAGTATATTGTGTAGTTAAAAAATATTAAAGAATCATAGTATAGTATGTAAATAAAGTCCACGAAAAAAATAATCTTGTTATAGGACACCATAAATATATAAAAAAATCATACATTAAATGTTAGGAAATTATATAATTTTTAAAAAGGCACAGTAAAGTGTGTCATCGTTGTGTTTGGAAAAATACTGTTTTAGTTAGTCATAACAAATATTTAAAATGTATAGTGAAGTATATAATTAAAAGGTTATTTTAAAAGTCGTAGTTTAGTTTTTTATTTATGTATATATTTGTTCTAAAAGTCATAGTATAGTATGTCACAAAAAAGCTCATAGTGTCATTAAGAAACAGTATGTCCTAAATGACTAGTTAATTGAAGCCAAGGCAGCATCCAGCCTGCTTGTACAGTCTTTATGTAACCCGGTTTGTCCCGTTGAGACCTTTTCTTGATAAATAACTAAAGGGTTGTCAGTGTGTTACCCCGGTGGCGTTGTAGTCCTGGTCCGTGGCGAGGAACCTCAGCGGCTGGTCCTTGTTCTCCGGGTCTATCGCCATCGAGCCTACCGTGGACACGACGCCTCTGTACTGACTCCTCTGGAGCTGAGGGGGGTGGAGGCTCTTCACCTGGACTCTGATGCTGAGGGAGGTGGAGGAGGACTGGAACAGGTTGGTGCTCTGAGCGGCCTGCAGGAGACACAAGGGCTGTCACTAGGAACACAACTCTACTCACTCAGAAGCTTGAATGACCCCGAAAATAAGTCATAGTACAGTATTTAATCATTAAAAATGCATGTCATACGGTCCTAGTATGTTATAAAAAACGATTTAAAATAGACATAGGGTAATATGTTATACTTATTGTATGTATGTCTCAATGTCAATTTCCTCTGTGGGACTAATACAGGTATTCTGATTCTGATTGTATATACATTTTGGTAGAGTATGTTATAAAACATATTTTTAATAATTCAAAGTGAAGTATGTTAAATAAATATATTTTTAAAAGTCGTCGTATAGTATGATAAAAAACGTTTAAGAATAATAGTATGGTATAGTAAAACATCTTCTGAAAACTCATACCACAGCATATCAAATAAAAATATTTCCTAAAGTCTTCTGAGCGGCCTGGAGGAGACACAAGGGCTGTCACCAGGAACACAACTGCACCTCAATCTGAAGCTCGAATCAACCCACAAAAAGTCATAGTTTAGTATTTAGATATTGAAGTGACTGTTATTTTGTATATATTGATTGAGTGCTTTTATGTATGTCTTAATGTGTGCATATGTATACATGTGTCTGTTGATTGTGTATATAGGATATACATATTTGTGGGGAAATTGTATTTTGATCTCTCTGTCTGTACACACAAACTGAAAGATTGACAATAAAGTGGACTTTGACTTTTGACTTTAATGATTAAAAATACGTGTCATAGTATAGGCCTAGTATGTTATAAAAAGCGATTAAAAAAAGTGCTATATTTTAATATTATAATAGCTTTTTATGATTTTATTTTGTGGGCCCTTTTCTTACTATGTATCTTCTTTGACTGTGTTTATGTTTGCACCAAATACACCAAGGCAAATTCTTAGTACAGTATGTGTAAACCTTCTTGGCAAGAAACCACTGATTCTGATTATTATATTTAATTTATATTTCACTATTAACTTTTACTATTATCAACTATTATTTTTTTATTTGACTTATTTCTTTACCAGAACGGTCAGACTGATGGTCCCCAGCACGTCCACGGGCTTCAGCATGCTGATGTTCCCAGTGCTCGGGTTGATCTGAAACAGCCCGCCTCCGTCCCCTGAAACACACAGACTCAGCTTCTTCCTGCAGATCATTCACAAAAACAAACACTGATGAAATATAATCTGCTCACCGCCCAGGAACGAGTAGGTGATCTCCTCGTCGAGTCCTAGATCTCCGTCGATGGCGTACAGCGGCCCGGGATCCAGGGACAATACTTCGGCCTGCAGGATGTCATGGTGGAGATTCATTTAAAAAAGTAATAATATAATGAAAAAATGATTTTATCATATTATAATACGTAATAAAAAAATTGTTTAAAGAAGGTCAACGTATTGTTTGTCCAAAGAAAATGATTAAAAAAGTCATAGTATAGTATGTCAACAACTAAATGACAGTTATAGTATAGTATATCATAAAATAAGAAAAGTAATATCATAGTGTGTGATAAGACATAGTGTAGTTCTTGTAAACAAATCCAGGTAAATATCCAGATAAAGTATATCCAGATAGGTATTTTTATATAAAGTATCCTTATAAAATGATACCAATAAAGTATCAAGATAAAGTATCTAGATAAAGTGACCTGGTAAAGTATCTATATAAAGTGACCTGATAAAGTATCTATATAAAGTGACCTGATAAAGTATCTATATAAAGTGACCTGATAAAGTATCTAGATAAAGTGACCTGATAAAGTATCTATATAAAGTGACCTGATAAAGTATCTATATAAAGTGACCTGATAAAGTATCTATATAAAGTGACCTGATAAAGTATCTATATAAAGTGACCTGATAAAGTATCTAGATAAAGTGACCTGATAAAGTATCTATATAAAGTGACCTGGTAAAGTATCTATAAAGTGACCTGATAAAGTATCTATATAAAGTGACCTGATAAAGTATCTATATAAAGTGACCTGATAAAGTATCTAGATAAAGTGACCTGATAAAGTATCTATATAAAGTGACCTGATAAAGTATCTAGATAAAGTGACCTGATAAAGTATCTATATAAAGTGACCTGGTAAAGTATCTATAAAGTGACCTGATAAAGTATCTATATAAAGTGACCTGGTAAAGTATCTATAAAGTGACCTGATAAAGTATCTATATAAAGTGACCTGATAAAGTATCTATATAAAGTGACCTGATAAAGTATCTATATAAAGTGACCTGATAAAGTATCTAGATAAAGTGACCTGATAAAGTATCTATATAAAGTGACCTGATAAAGTATCTATATAAAGTGACCTGATAAAGTATCTATATAAAGTGACCTGATAAAGTATCTATATAAAGTGACCTGATAAAGTATCTAGATAAAGTGACCTGATAAAGTATCTATATAAAGTGACCTGGTAAAGTATCTATAAAGTGACCTGATAAAGTATCTATATAAAGTGACCTGATAAAGTATCTATATAAAGTGACCTGATAAAGTATCTAGATAAAGTGACCTGATAAAGTATCTATATAAAGTGACCTGGTAAAGTATCTATAAAGTGACCTGATAAAGTATCTATATAAAGTGACCTGGTAAAGTATCTATAAAGTGACCTGATAACGTATCTATATAAAGTGACCTGATAAAGTATCTATATAAAGTGACCTGATAAAGTATCTATATAAAGTGACCTGGTAAAGTATCTATAAAGTGACCTGATAAAGTATCTACAGTATATAAAGTGACCCGATAAAGTATCTAGATGAAGTGACCTGATAAAGTATCTATATAAAGTGACCTGATAAAGTATCTATATAAAGTGACCTGATAAAGTATCTAGATAAAGTGACCTGATAAAGTATCTATATAAAGTGACCTGATAAAGTATCTAGATAAAGTGACCTGATAAAGTATCTATATAAAGTGACCTGATAAGTGTCTATAAAGTGACCTGATAAAGTATCTATATAAAGTGACCTGATAAGTGTCTCACCGCTTTTCTTTTCTTTTCTTTTTTATTTATTTGGGGTCACATTATATTAAAAGTAAAGTTTTGCAAATCATATCTCTTTAGAGACCCGAAAATGGCAAATTAAATAGAGAACCGCAGTGACGCGTCCTAAAACCCGGAAGTAAACTTCATCCGGTTCCTTCGACAAAAATGCAATGCAATTTCTCCATAGGATCTCATAAATCGAATCGATAGATTTATGATCGATAGATTTATGATTAGAAAATTATAAGAGATGGGTAGACATGTGGAGATTATCAGACTAAACAAAACGTGACCCGTCTCTTAAATGTGTGTCAACCACAGACCTTATTTCAAGCTATTTTCCAAAGTCCTATGGAGAAACTGCATTGCGTTTTTGTCGAAGGAACCGGAAGAAGTTTACTTCCGGGTTTTAGGACCTGTCACTGCGGTTCTCTAACCCGAACAAAATTGGTAAAATATAATAAAAACAAAAAAGTACATTGTTTGAAATTACAAATATCAACACATGGACACATGAATCTAATTAAACACACACACACACATATACATATATATATATATATATATATATATACATACAGTATATACATATATATATACACAAACATGTACATTCACATACATACACACATATACAGTACATACATACACATACACCTATATATGCATACATACCCACATACCTATACACATAGATCAACATACATACATATATATACATACACACATATATATGCACATACTGTACATAATATATACATATACATTCAGTCGGTGTCTCACCTCCTGTTCGTTCAGCACCACCCTGCTGGTGTATCCGTTGCTCTGGCAGACCACCGCCCCCCCCACCTCGTAGCGGCTGCAGGGCTGGAACCAGGGGGGCCGGTTGTCCACGTCCACGATGTAGACCATGATGGTGGTGGTGGCGCTGAACGGGGCCCTGCTATTGGCTGCTGTCAATGGAGCGTCCTTTAGAAGAAATACAGAAAGGGAAAAACAGTTATTATAGTAAACATTGAAACAGTATGACCGTCAGCAGAGGTCGGAGACAGTGGTCCTACACACAGTCCTTTCATTTAATAAAAATGTTTATGAAGCACAATTATCAACTAATCTTAATTTCTACTTGTGATACCTGGAAAACGTATCACATTCCCATAATGCTTACGCTGTGTTTTGGGCAAATTTGAAAAGTTGTAGCATGATAACCCGCTTTTTGCAGACATATTTAGAAAACACATACACACACACATATTTTTTTAATTATTTACTAATGTGCAGTGCCTTAAGTTGCTGCTGTAACTTCATATTGAATTTGGGATCAATAAAGTTCAATAAATCAAGTTAAATCTAAGTCTACAAAAGGAATGAATCATTGTTTATTGTTAAGCATTTTAGTTTTTTCTTTTATTATATAAGTGGGTAACACTGTAAGGTAGAAACATGTAGCTTATCTATTTGAATCGTTAATACAACATTTGATATATTTGAATTTGGATATTATATATTATATATTTTGTAACTTGTAAATGTCCTGTAGCAGACATTTATTATTATTTTAGTTGTATTCAACAAAACTAAAAACATTTAGTGTTGTGTTTTGTTTGTTTAATTAATGTCATTAATGAACACACACACACACACACTTGCCTTTATCAAAGTTAAAGGTGGGGTAGGTCATTTTGGAGAAACCAGCTCGAGTGCGCTAGAATTTGAAAATACACAGCCGGAAAAAATCTGCCACTTCCTTACAGAGCCCCTCCTCCAACACACACGAACGTGCACATGACCAATGAGGGCACGAGAGAAGTTTGTGCACAGATGGAAGGCTGACAGGCAGGTAGGCCATCCAGTTATTTTAGCCGGCTCAGATGATTGGTCGAGCTTTTTACAGCGCTTCAGCTTCCACAGATGAAATTTTGTTATGGATTTTTTGTCAAAGCACTTCAGATATTCATTGCTATCGGGATGTTAAGAGCATTCCATGGAATATAACAAAAAGTGTATCTCGAGCCGGTTTCTCAAACTTACCTACCCCACCTTTAAAGTAAGTTAAAAATAGCGACATCACCCCATCTAAAATAAATGAATTAGCAAGCCAATTATAAGATGCCATGTCATATTGGAAAAACATACAAATCTGTTCACTGCTGACTGTGTGAGCAGCAATGTGTACTGAACTACATTTAAATATGCATATCAATTCAAAATGATTTTTGTGTGACAAGTGACTTGCTCCAAAACACTTTGGACATTTGGACAAGAGATTCCAGAGACACATATTTAACTTAATTGAGTCCCAAAAATGAGATCAGTATTTGCACACTACAAAAACAAAAAAATCTTGCCAAGTATATTCGTCTAATAGCTCAGAATATGTCACCTGGTATAAGACATAACAACTTCAGAAGTCACACTGCAGTGAGATATAGGGTCTTGTTTTTAGACAATGCATCATCCTGTTCAGTCAAACAATCTTATTTTGAGTTGTATCTCAGAGGAAACACATATCTTTTGGACTACCTATGTTGCAAATGTATTATCTTTTCAATTTACACACGGCATCTATTGCACGTCTGTCCGTCCTGGGAGAGGGATCCCTCCTCTGTTGCTCTCCCTGAGGTTTCTCCATGTTCCCCTTTAAACTGTGGGTTTTCTCCGGAAGTGTTTCCTTGTACGATGTGAGGGTCTAAGGACAGAGGGTCTAAGGACAGAGGGTGTCGTTTTGTCATACTGATATTCTGTACACACTGTGAAGTCCACTGAGACAAATGTAACATTTGTGATATTGGGCTATATAAATAAACATTGATTGATTGATTGATTGATTGATTGATTGATCTTTTCAAATATTTATTAGAAAATCACCAACTAACATCAGAAAACAGAAAACATTTGAGCATTAGCGGCTTATTCTGCCATTTATTAAATGTTTTACCTTATTATTTGCCCCTTTTTGTTTGTTTGTTTGCTCAACATGTAAAGCGGACTTGGCTCCCTTGAAAGGCCCTATACAAATGTCAACTATTATTTTTATTTTTATTTTTATTTTTGTTATTATTATTATTATTATTATTATTATTATTATTATTATTATTATTATTATTATTATTATTATTATTATTATTATTATTTTGTAACACAACATTTCCTGATTCTGGTCAAATATAGTTCAAAATGAGTTCTCCCAGCTAATACAAGATCTGATTTATCTAAATATCCCTTCTCATTTCAAGGAGCAGCATTTTTTCCAGTGCAGTACTCACCTGAACGATTAGTATCAGTTGGACACTTTTAACTTTGTCAAAGTCGACAGGTGTCACAACGAGGAGATCCGGGTTTGTTGGCGCCTTCAGAGCAAAGCCGCTCTGCACGAATCAAATGGGACAAAAACAATGTTTAGATCTGCGTCTTGAGCTCGCAGTTTCCCCCTGCTTCCAGTCTTTGTGCTAAGCTAGGCTAAACATGACATCCCGGACATTTACAGGCACCCATTGAGAGATGGAATAATAGTAAATGAGGTCTTACAGATTCAGGCATCAGTGTGTAGTACAGCGGTCCACCGTCTAAATCAGTGGCAGCAAATCGGCCCACGGTTGTGCCACTAGGAGACAGCTGGGTGATACAAAAATGCAGTTTAAAACGCAATATTAACTTGAAACACAGTTTGGAACATTTATATAGTTTATCACTGGAGCTAACGTCAATTAGCAGCCTCACATCTGCTTTAAGTCTCTGACCCTTGCATCATCAACATACCCTAATTAAATGTGTACTGTGAAACTCCTTCTCATACTCTATGTGGTAAAACATATGGTTTTGGCCATGTACTGTAATTCAGGGATATTGAGATGTTAAAAGTGGAGCAATACAAAGTTATCCCAACAACATTTATGGAACATTTTCGTGTATTTAAAGTTAAGATACTCTTACCTCATTTACAGTGGCGTGGTATGGGTTCTGCTCAAAGACTGGAGCGTTATCATTCAGATTGTCCACAGATACTACGATGGGCAATTCCAACTTGAAACAAAGACAACATTTTTAAAGCACTCATTTTGATAATGTTTTTTCATCATTACTATTCATTTAGTACCAGTAAAACCTCTTAACGCACATGTAGAACCTATTTAGCACATTTACAAATGTTCAAGAACCCACACTGGCTCTTCAAGTACCTGTTGACTCTTTAGAAAATCTTAATTAAGCCCCTAAAGAACCTCCTAACGCACCAGTAGTGTTTTATCAAGTACCTGCAATCTAAAGAACCTAGAGAAACGTACAACTTTCTCAACCCCCTGTTAAACTTTGTTAAGCCCTAGAGAACCTCCTCAGGAACCCATAAAATCTCTTCAAACACCTCTACAACGTCCTCAAGCTCATAAAGAACATAATAAAGCTCCAATAATCTCCTCAAGAACACGTAAGACCTTTTCAATACTTGTTCAACCTTATTCACCCCTAGAAATATGATCAGGAACCCATACACATTTCCTCAAAAAACCCTTGAGAACCTCATTAAATGTCCCTTAAAATCTCTGCCTGACCACTTATCTTCACGAGAACCCTTTAACCGATTAAATAACCTGTAAAATAATTTTCCATCCATTTCTTTTTAAGGAACCTGCTAAGACGCTTCAATATAATTTCAAACACCAGTACACCGTTCTCAAGAACCTGTACTACTTTGTTAACCTCCTATAGACCCTTTGTAAGCAACCTTTAGAACTCAAGCAACAATCAACAATTTCCTTAAAAACCTAATACAACATCTAAGTACACCTCCACAGTTTTAAAGAACACATGGAGAACCTTATGGAGAACCATCTTCTAACTCCTCTACAGTTTACCAAGAACTCATACAACCTCATCAGGCATTAGTAAAACATCTTCAAAAACATGGAGAACCTTAGGGAGAACCATCTTCTAGCACATACCATTTTCCAAGAAGTCATAGAAATACATCAAGCATCCATAAAACCTATTGAAGAACATAGAGAACCTAATCTTCTAACACCTCTACAGTTTTGGAGAACCTTAGGGAGAACATGGACAAACTATTTTCTAGCACATACAATTGTCCAAGAACTCATAGAACTACATCAAGCATCCATAAAACCTATTGAAGAACATAAATGAGGTTAAATTGTTAACATAGGTTCAGGAGCATGGCCACGCCTAAAACTCCGCCTCGAACCACGGCCACCCCTATTTATATCCGGCAAAACTTCCGGCCACCGCTTGTCTCCATCCTTTCACTCTGAGTCTCCCACTGCACGGACCACAGCTCGTCCTCCCAGATCATCTCTTCACCCCCCTCATATCATTCACATGTTACTTCAATAAACTTACAAACATCACACTGTTGTGGCGTGGTTCCTGCTAGTGAAAGAACCTTGTGGTGATCCATCTTCTTACACTTCTACAGTTTTTCAAGGACTCATATAACCTCATCGAGAATGTGTTTAATCTCAGAAACATGGAGAACCTTAGGGAGAACATGGACAACCCATCTTCTAGCTAGCACATACAATTTTCCAAGAACTCATAGAACTACATCAAGCATCCGTAACAGCTATTCAAGAACATAGAGAAACTCATGATGAACCATCTTCTAACTCCTCTACAGTTTACCACAAACTCATAGAACCTCATCCAGTATCTGTGGAACCTCTTCAATAACTTTATGGAGAACATTGACAAACCACCTTCTAGCACATACAATTTTCCAAGAACTCATAGAACTACTGTACATCAAGCATCCGTAAAACCTATTCAAGAAATTAGAGAACCTTGTGGTGAACCATCTACTTACACTTCTACTGTTTTTCAAGAACTCATAGAACCTCATCAGGCATTTGTAAAACCTCTTCAAAAACATGGAGAACCTTAGGGAGAACTTGGACAAACAACTTTCTAGCACATACAATTTCCCAAGAACTCATAGAACTACTGTACATCAAGCATCCGTAAAAGCTATTCAAGAACATAGAGAACCTAATCTTCTAACACCTCTACAATTGTTCAAAGACTCACAGAACCCCATCCAGAATGTGTTGGACCTCTTCAATAACATGGGGAACCTTATAAGGAAACTGGAATAACACCTGAGTAACTGAGAAAATCAATGATTTCAAGTTGTCTTTTCTGTCTTTCATGCCGTACTATTGGTTGAAAACACTGATTCATTGAGAGAATCTGCCTTCATGCTGCCTTAGTAAAATGTATTCAGTCATTTTAACAATTCGAACATACGCCACAGTAAAATAATGAAGAGTTAAGATGAATAAACACATATTTCTGCATCTCAAATCAACTTGTTAAGTGTTTTACCTTGGAGGCTGTGGCTGTTTCGGTGCAGATGATCGAGACCGCGTGAACTTGTTTATCCTGCAAACAAAACACACTTTATGCAAAAAACGTTATGAGACATGGGGTTTAATCTTGTTGACACCATTTGTCAACAGTACCTCAAAGTCCAACACCTTTGCAGCTTCCATCGTATTTCCTACGATTCTGAACATGTTGTCCGGGTTTCCATCGGCCGTAAAATTAACAGTCACCCCTGGTTCGAGATGTATCGTCGACACGACTACCCCAACTTCATTGTTTTCTGCAATGTTTACCAATATAGGAGTAGAACAGACTGTTGAGAAAGAAGAAGCAATGGTTGTTAGTTTCATACCTGTGCCAAATCCAGCACCAGACACCAAAAAATGCTGCTCCAAAAACAAGTTAAACAATAATGAAAACAAGCTGTTTTCACTTGAAATAAGTTCAACAATTTGAAGAAAATTTGCTCTGTAAAATGTCTTCAAATGAGAAGGGATGTTTAAATAAATCAGATCTTGTAATTAGCTGAACTAATGTTGAACTATATTTGACCAGAATCAGGAAATGTTGTGTTACAATATATATATAGCCGAAATTCTTAAAAGTGTTAGTTGGTGATTTTCTATTAAATATACGTAAAAATATATGTGTACCATCTGAGATGCAACTCAAAACAAGATGTTTTGAGTTAACAAGATGATGCATTGTCTAAAAACAAGACCCTATATCTCACTGCAGTGTTACTGCTGAAGTTATTATATCAGATGTAGAGACATATTGTGATATTACACAAATATACTTGGCAAGATTTCAAGTTGTTGTAGTGTACGGACAGTCTTGCACTAATTCTCAAAGATATTGAAGTGACTGTTATATATTTGTATATTGATTGTTGTGTTTTTATTTAGGTCTTAATGTGTGCATATGTATAAATGTGTCTGTTGATTGTGTATTGAAGGTATATACATATTTGCATACATATTTATATATATATTTGTTTTTGTATTCAGGATTGTGGGAAACGGTATTTCGATCTCTCTGTACACACAAACTGAAAGATTGACAATAAAATTGACTTTGTATGTCCAGAGTTGCCAGATCATAGTGCAAGCTTGAGAACATGAAAAAGTCAAATACATTTAGAGATCCAGACCTAATAAAAAAAGGCGCAGCAACCTTTATTATTGAGTCTGGCCTGTGAACACCAAGAGGCTCACTGGTATTACTTCCTGTTTTCACTACAGATAAAACAATTAAGTCCCAGTCGAACCAGCCGTTTAAAACACTCACTTTCTGCGGTGGACGAATGGAGGAAAATGAGAAGAAGTAGAAAGCTGGACGACGTCCTCAGACTGAAGTGAGTCCCGTCCATGTCTCCGTCCCGTCTGAACTGATCCTCTTCCGTCTCTGTTCTCACATTATCTGCTCAGGTTTATGGCTGAAAGTGGACTTTTCCCCGTCATAAAATCATAACACACGTCTGTTTGTGTCGGGAAGCCATTAAATGTTATTTGTGACCAATGGTCTTTTATTGGACTGGGTTCGACATCACGGCTAAATGTTACCACATATACAGAAGTAAGAAGATCGAATCAATAAGTCAATCACACTTTATGTATATAGCCCCATTTTACAAATTACACATTTGCAGTTGTTTAAAGTAACTAAGTGCATTTACTCAAGTACTGTAGTACACTTTTGAGGTACTTGTACTTTACTTCAGTATTTCCATGTGATGCTACTTTGTACTTCTACTCCACTACAATTCAGAGGTAAATGGTGTAATTTTACTCCACTACGTGTATTTAATACCTTTAGTTATTTTACAGATCTGGATGAATGATGTGAAATATAATCAAGTGTTAAATCAGACTTTAGTTCCACCTGGAGTAAATTCAATCAATGTTTATTTATATAGCCCAATATCACACATGTTACATTTGTCTCAGTGGACTTCACAGTGTGTACAGAATATCAGTATGACAATACGACACCCTCTGTCCTTAGACCCTCACATCGTACAAGGAAACACTTCCAGAGAAAACCCACAGTTTAAAGGGAACATGGGAGAAACCTCAGGGAGAGCAACAGAGGAGGGATCCCTCTCCCAGGACGGACAGACGTGCAATAGATGCCGTGTGTACATCGAAGAGATAATACATTTGCAACATAGGTAGTCCCAATCCACCAGCTACCCTGCGGTATACAAAGTCATTCAAACTAGCTGCACTTTTACCAGCTTTGAGAACACGTTCATGATCAATCATTATGAAACATATCATATATATTATTCTGAAATGGACCGATCTGCACAACGACTACTTTTACTTTTGGTACTTTGAGTTAAATTGCTCCATGAAATAATGTCTTTATTTAAGCATGCCCTCTAGAATGTGAAGAATCAGAGTCACAATAGGTTTATTGTCAGGTGGGTTTAAAGACATGTGGTGTATGGTGCAAACTTAAACGCAGTAAGACGAATTAAAGAGGCCCTTTTCAGCTTTTGGGGGGTTTTCCCTTTCCTGTTGTGTGTTATATAGGTTTTAGTGCATGTAAATAGTCTGCAAAGATTGTTTATTTTACTCTCTGGGGTTAACTAAGCCTTTAGTTACTGTTGTGTGTTCATTTCATCCTCTGTGGGATTTAAATGTGTGCTGTTTTTAGTGGAAAACATTCTGTAACAGTGTTTGAAAAGTGCTACATTAATAAAGTCTAATACTAAATAAATCGTTTTTGTAGACCATTTACATGCACTAAAACCTATAGAACACACTATAGGAGAGTGAAACCCCCCCAAAAGCACAATAGGACCTCTTTAATATTATAATGATGACCTTTCTAGTTCCTCCATTGTTCTTTCACCGACTAATAACTCTAATTGAACAGTGCAATATATAAGAAATGCTAAAAATGAGACATGCTTAAGGATACATTCAACACACAGTATTTGATTTAACTTATTTTAATAGCAAAGATATCCGTGTTTCCATATTGAACATGATCACAGCTGCTTATATAGAGGTGTATACAGAACATCAGGAACACGTCAGTCCCTCAAACTTCATATCTCATCTCTTTTTTGGACGTTTTCACAGAGCGGCAGACCAGTTGTTGAAGACGGACGGACACATGTACTGCCTCAGCAGCAGGTTCACCCTCTCCACGTCCCCCCCCACCCCGCTGCGGAGGAAACACATCAGGGGTTAAACACTGCTGGCGAGGAAACAACATTAAAAAGGGATTTTCAGAATGTTTTAACATATATTTCAGTTTCACCCCACAGGCCATAAGACTGTTAAACACCTGGACTTTTGAGAGAACATCCATAACATTCATCTGTTTGCAACTTATATATATCAATACTCCAATTACTGTATATAGACTATTCTGCACTATTTCTGCTACAGTACATCCTATTTTATTTTATTTACTTGAACTATTTGAACTATTTTATTGTGTTGCACTGTTGGAGGAGCCTGTGACCTCAGATCTTCATTGTCATAACTACACTGCAGCTATTACACATAAAAGCTTTGAATCTTGAATCTTGTTAACTTGCCGACTGATTTTGCTATACAGTACGGCACTCTTTGTTGTTGGGATAAACACAAATATAAGGGTTGTGAGAAAAAGGAAACTTTCATTTGGAGTTATACATTATTATTTAAAATGTGTTAACCAGCTCTTCTGCAGAGAGAACGAGGCCTTCATTTAGATCAGATTAGAATAGATGTACTTTATTCATCTAAAATTGGGATTCGTTTTGTCACAAATCCTTTATATAATTTCTAAACCACAACAGAAAAATATGCAATAGGATACTTTGCAAAATGTGGAGTTTTTTTAAAATCAAAATGGATATCTAAATCAGGACAAAACTAAAGTATGAACTGAACTTAAATAAATATGATATATTTGTAGTTTTTCTAATCAGGTCCTGATTAAATTAGTTGTTGATGCAAACACATCACTTCCTTTATGTTTACCGGATAGCTTAATGTACATTTACCACTGTATTCATTCTTAGGTAGCCTACAACAATGTCATATCACGCTGCTTTAATCACTTTTTTTTCAGACTGATGATTTTTTCTTTTACAGATAATTTTCTACCTTTTCTAATTTGTTATTATTTCAATCGCACAACATTAATAAAAGCATCTCCGGGGCGTCTTGTTGTTTTAATGTTCGTTGGCCGACAGATGCAAACGGCACAAAACACCTCCATTAGGAAACAGGCTAATTTATGTATTTGTAATGTGAGGGTCTAAGGACAGAGGGTCTAAGGACAGAGGGTGTCGTATTGTCATACTGTTATTATGTACACACTGTGAAGTCCACTGAGACAAATGTAACATTTGTGATATTGGGCTATATAAATAAACATTGATTGATTGATTTGCAGAGTTTCGTTTATGCAGTGGCGGTTCTAGACCAATTTGACTGGGGGGCAGTTATTTCATGAGAGGGGCACAATAAAAGCGGATTAAAAAGAAAAAGACAGTATAAAGTAATTGTGTTAAAATAAACATAAAATACAGTATTTGGAAATTGTTTTTATAAAGGTATTTTTTTTAGTTTTTTTCATTTAGAGTATTTGTTTTAGTAACTTTAAGTGACGATTTCATTAAAAAACATAAACAGTATTTGCTTTTATAAGGTAATGAACAGGTTAATCTCCACTGTACACCCGTGTCTCTGATTTGATTTAGTTCCAATAAATCGTAATATTGTAAACTTTTTTTGGAGGGGGGCCACAGGTCCTGCCCCCCCCTAGAACCGCCCCTGCGTTTATGCAACGCTTATAGTAAACACTATTCATGTTTTTTCTAGTTGGTGAAGAGGTTTCTTCTTTTTCATGTTTTGTGGCCCATTTGTTTTGTTACATTTGCATTGTTTATTTAGCTGCAGCATGTTTCTCCTAAAAAAAGATCGTGCCATTGTAACGCGTTTGCACCTGTCAGCCACCGTAGCATGTGTTATAAAGTGTCGCACCTCTTCTTGACGCCCTGCATGCGGCGCAGGAAGGCGCAGACGGAGCTGTGCTTGGCTTTCGATCGCAGGAACTCTGCGTATCTGTTGGAGAACTCGATGTCTCCCAGCTGCCTCCTGCGGTCCAGTCCAACGGAAAGCATCTGCCTGAAAAACACACAATCACAGAAATCAACGAGTCAGATGTGACCAACACAATAAGTATGCCTTGATGTTTCTGAAGTCATATCTTGCATGTTCCTAGGTAGGTAAGCTTTTCAAAGGAACTACTACTGGATTATTGTCACACGTTCACCAATCAATGCATTTCAAGACAACTAACAGTATCTACTATCTACTTGCACTGACCCTGTATGGAGTTCAAACATCATAGAGGTTAAACGAAGAGCTGAAATAACATTATTCAGAATAAAATGTTAAAATAAAAGTGTGTGTGGTCTTTTCGAAATGTTAAATCCAGTTAAACCTGCGGTGACAAACATTTCTATCCACTAGGGGGCAGCAGAAACCAGTTAGGATCACATCTTTGACATATGATCTCTTAAAGAGGCCCTATTTTTCTAGGCTTCTTGGGGTTTTCAGTGTGAGAAAAATAAAGAGCTGTTGGAACATTAAAGCATGGACACGTGTCACTATAGAGGGACACAGTAGAAATAGGAAAGTGAAAAGTGTGTGGGTTATTTTCTTCTAATTGTTAAATCAAGTTACACCTGCAATGAGTAACATTTCTGGCCACTAGGGGGAAGGAGAAACCAGTTTCTATCACACCTATGACCTCCAAGATAGGTTGATATTGTGAATATGATTGCGAATAAATGACTTATTTACATATCCAGCACACAGAGCAACATTATTAATCATTGAGAGACTCCTTGTTGTGTCCACCTGATGAATATGAGTCCAGTGTTCTCTCTTGTAGCTCGGATGTTGGTCAACACCAGCTCCTAAAGAGCTAAACATAGAATCTCACCAATTTCCCCAAATATCTTTCTTCAGGTGTAAACTGACCTGAGTCTGGCCTCGAGCAGAGAGTCTGCAGAGCTCATCCCCGACAGAGACCACGGTGCGTTCAGGGGTCTGCTCTGAGTCAGGAAACTCTCCAACTCGTCTTCATCCCTACGGTCACATCACAACACAACATTGGACACAAATTCAGCTCTTTTTTTCACCAGAAGAAAATACAAAGGATGGAGTCATGGAGAACAGGTACAGACAAATGTAGACTATTTTTTAAATCAAGCTGACAGTGTTCAAATTAATGTTCTGTGTTTAGTTTATATAGAAAACATCAAATAAAGGTGGAGTGTGTTATCATAACGAAGAGGAACAATGGAGGGTTTTCTTTGGTACGTTTTTGTAGTTTTTCAGCAGCGTTTGAGAGAGTTTTTCAGGTGAACCTACCTGACAGGAAGTGATGTGGCAAAGTGAAGGAGGGCCAACAGCAGGAACACCTGAGTCACACTGATGGACGGCATCATGAGGACGATGAAGATGAGGATGAGGATGATGATTTCCTGAGGAGACAAAATAAATGTTCAAACCTCAAAACTGAAAAACACGTCCTTATGGTTTGGCTTTATGTGTCCTGGAGATGTGTTATACTGCAGCATTGAAATATATGTTAGACATGCGTTTGTTTCAAACACCTTTTTCTGTGACAACAAAACTAAAGACTCAATGTACAGCCAGGTTAGAAAAAAGGTTGTCCCTGTTTGGTTTGGGAAAAGCTCTCTCTCTTGAAATCATAACGTGGTTACTAAATATAATCCACATTTTGTTGTGAGCATTTTCATGTATAGGAACTAGTCTCTTTCTTCTATACTGTATGTTATGCTATTATAATTCTACTCCACCTTATTTTACCTCTAGTTACTCACTTTAGATTCAGATTTTCACCAATATGAAATACGAATCATCTTATAAAAAAACATTGACATACAATTTTAGGATATCCAGCAGCAGTGTGTAAAGTCGTTGAAACGAGCTCCACCTTAACCAGCTGTGATTAACATATAAATGCATCAATGAATATAATACAGGCAATTAATATGAGATTCTGAAATGGGCCATTATGCTTAACGAGTACCTATATTTTAATGCTAATACTTTTTGACTTGTACTTAAGTTAGATTTTGAATGCAGGACTTTTACTCAAGTATTTTTACAATTTTCCAATCGCATAAGTTTGGGTTAAATATGGCTTCATTAATTTCGGTTTAATGTTAGGGACCTTATTCTACAGCTTCGATTATCACTATTGGACTGTACCATTTCACATAATCTCCATCCTGTACTTGTATTGTTAAATGTTGGCAAATAAAACACATTGAGTTGCCTTTAAGGATGACATTTCCTTCAGTCAAACGGACAGTAGACACACTTTGAGACATAAAGAGGATTAAAATCCAATCAAAAACAACTTTATGCTTCTGAATTCATCCTGAGTTTTGTTTCTGGTCGCTACACGAAAGAAACAACAGATCAAACCAATGAAAGCTTTTAAAAATAAGTGTTAAGTTGTGCAGAGACTCACCTGGATGGATCCTGCTCAGAGAGACCTGTAGACTGGATGTTTGGGTCCGAGTCGCCTCCTTTTGTACCGGCTCGGGTATCGAACCTGCGACAGACTTCCCTCTCATTTTACTGCTCTGATTATTTACCGTGTCCACACATCGAGTCAAAGACCTGACTTCCCTGTTTGTTCGCTGCCTGAAATCTTAATGAAATTATTGGATCTGACTTCCTTAATGAGCTCTAATCACCTGTGAGAGCCGCCTGCTGTTTGCTCACATTAAATAATTATCACGTCAATGCAGAGAATTGATCCACAAACACACTTTTCTATCTTTTTACTACTCTGATGCCTGCTTCTGTTTGCTCTGATTACAAATGTTGGGAAGTGACACAATTTAATAACGTCACATGTGGGTCACAGAGGCCCATTTTAAATTCAATGTACTTTTATTTGTGATACTTTGATGTACTTTTATTTGTGATACTTTGATGCACTTTTACTTGAGATCCTTTAAGGACATTTGGCTGATAAAATGTACTTTTATTTGTGATACTTTAAGGACATTTGGCTGATAAAATGTACTTTTATTTGTGATACTTTAAGGACATTTGGCTGATAAAATGTATTTTTATTTGTGATACTTTAAGGACATTTGGCTGATAAAATGTGGGCTTACAGTAAGTAGGAATTTGACTTCAGGACTTATTTTTTTACATTGTTGTATCAGTACTTTCTTAATTAGTCTACTAAAATCAGGACAATCTTTAAAAGCCCAAATGATAAATGTTCTTTAGCTCCAGCCTAAATATCTAAAACAAACTAAACACCTCAACTATCAAACTTCTGCTGGACTACCAAAGACAAAATAGAGAAATATTTATCTGCAGATGAATCAACAAAAAATACTGCAGATTAATAAAAAGTAATCTTAAATACAAAGACTTTATCAGCTAAGTTGTTTTATTGCAAAAGAAAAAGAAAGTTGAAAGTTTCAACAAATATATCCAGAGGGAAAACGTTAGAAAAATCTGCAAAAGACTGCAGTGGTGAGAAATCATTATGGTCTAAAAGCCTTTGCAGACCGTTTACATGCACTAAAACCTAAATAACACACAACAGGAAAGAGAAAACCCTTAAAAGCATAGTATCGCATTAACACCATATTCCTACATGCATTGCGGCTAAAACATCCAATCAGCGAGCTTAAACCATAGCTGAGGATCTTGGGTAATCAGTTCAGTGGCTGTGTATCGCAATGATGCTCGAAATGTCCCTTATAGGCCTACGTCTGTTTCCGGTTATTTTTATTTTGAAATTCAGTTCCTGACGGACGCCAAAAAAGCCCGAGATTATGGAATTAAACAAATAAATAAAAACAAGGATAATTGTGTGTTATTGGTGAGTAAATAACAGTGTGTTATTTTGAAAAGAATAACGAATTAGAAGGAAAAAAAGAAAATACAGATTTCATTATTCTGAGGCTCTGAGCCCCATTTATTTTCCTCTCAGACGACAAAAAAAGTCCGACATTATACGATTTAAAATAAAAGCAATAATTGTGGCTTGATATTGAGTAAGAACATGTTTTTATGAACCACACAGCTTCCGGTCTTCCAAGACCCGAACGGACAAAAAGACGTGCTGCAGGCACGAAACATACTACCAATAGAAATACATTGCTTTTAAAATCATTCTGTGTGACACGAAAAAAAGGGGGAAATCGTGTTGGTGAACACGAATCAATAGATTCAATGTCGTGAGACTGGCCACACACACGGAACAATTTGACACATTTCCCGCTCTTATGTGCCCCTCCCCCCACATGGATCATACCTGGGACACGCAATACATGTTCAGTGTCTATTCTTTGTATATTTACTGCAGTGTTTCATGTATACCAGTAGTCTGATACAATATGTACAGTTTGAAAGGATGTTAAATGAAATGTGGTGATGATTAATGGTTTTTGTGTTCATGTAATAGCAGTTAAAACAGGACCGGGGGGGAAGTAGACAATAGGAGAGTTAAGAAGATTACAATTTGAGCTAAAAGGCAGCTACTATTGTTAGCTCATTAGCAAACGAGGCTTACATTATAACAACATTTTCATACAATAGAACTGTTAAATCATACTTTCAGCTCTCTGAATCTAAGAACAAATGATTGAGTCGTGTACACGGAATAATTGAATATGTTTTTTATTCCTGAAAATTGAAACAGCTACAGCAGAAGGTAAAGATCAGGTACAGCTCAGATTACAGTTTTTTGAGGTCGACTGATTCACTAGATAAAACTAGTTTTCAGCATCGGATTAAACTACAGTGTTGATTAAAAAAGAAACATCACCTGTAAATTAGAGGGGGTTTAAATTGGGAGAAACTAAAGCTTCACCAAGAGAAAAACTTTTAATGTCAATAGTTTGTAATCACTTTAACGACGGGAACTAAAAGATGTACATTAAAGTTGATTTTGAAATGTTTAGAGATAACAAATCAGAAAGATCATGAAGATTAATTCATGCTAAATAATCGCTTTTTGCAGTGCTAATCCTTAATCCTACATGGCAACATACCTGAAAAACTCTAGCAATGTTCCATTACATCTTTAGCTCTGAGCTACCTCTGGGAAGCGCGATATAAAGTTATTTTTTTAGTAATGTCTCTCCATTTAAAAACATTGACAATGTGTAAATCTGAGCCGATAGTTTAGATGTGTCAACTAAAATAAAGTAGCTAACAGGTGCATTCAATTCAAAACGGCTCAACTGCATGCAATGGGTGCTAGCGTTAATTTCAACCGCGCTCACACAAATCTCATTACGAATTCTATACAGCTAAATATTTATAGAAAGGGCAGTTTATGAGTTTCTTTTGGATTGGTTGGGCCCAGTAGATTTGGAGAAAACAATTGTCTTTGAGACTGATGCTCTTCCTAGAGGTTTTGCTGCGTCATGCTAACGTTGCACTGGAACAACAAACTAACTTTATCTTCTTATCCATGTCAGTTCTTTGTTTTCGGTCAGTATGGTTTGTAACGCGACATTGGCTAGTCGTAAGCCTAGCCAGATCTGTTAGCATCTGAGCTAGCTATGTGGCTATCATAGCTGGCTCGGGCATGTTCCTGGCAAAGTAGCATGTTAGCGCTTAGCTCATCAGCTACAGTCGCTACCTGCCAAATATTTAGAGAAAACATGCTGTCAGTTTCAGGTTTGCACTATATAATACTGAAGCACAAACACATTGAATTTATAATAACAGCCCGCAAAATGTTGATACATAATTGTATCCTCCTCAGTTATCTGTCATCAGTCGACCTCTGTTTGTACATTTGGTTTGTTGTTTGGAGGTTTTACAGCAAACATTCAGACTCTGATTGTACATCAATACAACGTTAGGAGATAAACCAACATGGTGGCGCAGCTAAAGGTCTTCACAGGTCCTCTCGGTTCTCGCTAACATTGTAATCGGTCTAATCAGAGCCCGGTTGTATTCTCGTTACGCCCTCTTAATATCCTCTAGGTTTTATCAGATAAGTTCTGATGGTCCCCTTTAAATCCAGCCTGTTGTTGCTTGAGAATGAATGCATGAAGGCAGGGTTTTGGTAGTTTACTTTTTTCATTGGATCCAAGGTGTTGGACCTGTGAAGACCTCTAGGCTGAGCTGAAATTGTCATGAGCAGACAGCTACATGTTTAAACCCCGGCTGGTATTTGGTCAGATTGTGAGGTTTGAGAGAGAGAGAGCTGATTGGCTGCTGCTACGGTTCCCTCCTCCATCAGTTTGAGTCCAGCTCGACATCAGCAGAGAGGAAACAGGATTGCTTGCCAACAACACAAGAAGAAACACAAAAAACAAGCAAACAGCGTCTACAGTCCGACAGTCCAGTGCTGATACTCCACTTTCTGTCCAGTCAAAGTCTAAATCGTTTCCATTTAATCCATCTTGAACTCGGTCAGTTTTAAATTGATTTATTTTATTTTTAAATTACAATCTTCCCTCCAAGTTGCAACTTTTATTAACAACATCCTGGTGGTCTAGAGCTTTTAGTGGAGCTATAAATGGCCAACCTCTATGTATTCGAACATGAAAGTATGCTGGTATGATTTGCCCCTCTGAAAGGTACACATAGCTGGTGACAATAACACATTGGCATAAAGTGTTTGTCCAAAAAGGTCTGAAATGGACCATCTGTCCTCAGGGTGGGGCTTAAGGAAAGGTCATGGGATCATACAAATCTAAAAAGGGATCATCCTCTTGAACGCAGGAATGAGAACATGTATTTTTATCATGATCTGTGTGGACGAAAGGGACATGACGGTCCTGAGGCTTATTGGGAAGAAAATGCAACTTCATAATGAATAATATAAGTAAAGATCATAATGTATGTATTTTAACATTACAGAGGCAGTCAACATCAGGCTAATGCTAAGAGCCGTCTGCTGTTAACGTCTGATCAAAAATCGAAACGTTCTTTGATCAGGTTTTTCGTGAGCAGATGGTGGAATATCAACACTGGACTTTACAATTGTCTTTCTTCAACAAAACCAGAATTCACAAAACCTTAAATCAATAATCTGAATCTTCCACTAATGCAATAACATTGATTATTAAGATTTTTGGGTGAAAAGATAAGTGATTTTTGTGGAAGATTCAGATGACTAACTTGAGGTTTTACAAAACAAAATAAACCTGACAGAGTACATTTAAAACATCATGTTGCACCGAGAATAGATTGAAGCTACATGTCCAGCTGACTTGAAGACAGTTTGAGTGAAATATTGTTAAAGCAGGTCTTTCCTGTGTTTACTACGCTTCATTGCATATCGAGCAGAAAGGGAAGATTGAAAACACTTGAGTGCACTGTTCAGCTTTCTCAGCCACGACCAGGTTGACTAAATCAGGGTTTCTAAATTGCTGGGAGTTTAAGTATGCAAAAATACCATTTTATAGTACGATTGAGTTCAGTTTCGGACTGGAGGAAAATCTATTGGCTCTGTTCGAGAAGCATGACGTGGAAGTTATCTTCTCATAACTGAGGAATAAATCCCCTCTCAGCATTTATTACCCCCACACGTACTGACCATGTGAAGGGGATTTACTTTCTACTTTTCAAGAATGTGAATCAACCTCTGACCCCGAATGATCACATGACCGGCGGGTGTCTGGCGTCCATAAAACATGTAAGAGATATTTCCAAATCCAGCATCACTTCAAATGAAATGTAAATGTGCAAAAAAAGCTAATATATTTCTGTAACAACTTCAAATAAGCTCAATAAAAAAAACTCTGGGATAATAGAAAAAAACACCTCTATATCAGATTTCAATAGTTTGATTTGATTAAATATAGATATAAGTCAACAGAGTATTTGAGTCTAAGGAGTTTGCAGTCTTATTTAGGGTATTAAAAGAGGAGATTCAGACGGGGCCACAAACAAAACAAGTCAAAAGAAAAAACAACAATGAGCAACTTGAGTCTATATGAAGTGTCTAACTGTCAGCAGTTCTGTAATCAAGTCAAAGCCAAAATCAAATATGAGTTGACTCAGACAATTAAGAAAAGTCCATACGAAATATATATTTAGAAAGTCGATTCATCCATTTATAAGTAGGTAATTTCTTAGTGCGATAATGTCAGAAAATGCCATTTCCGGCCTCTTAGAAATTGAGTTTTTCCTCTGTTTTAGGTTGTAGTGAATATCTTTGGGTTGTTTACTGACAATACAAGACTTTGAAGACTTTTTGAGAAACTGCAAAGGCATTTTTCACAAATGTTCTGAGTGATCAATCAACAAATCTAGAAAATAACCAGCAGAATAATGGATAATGACAATTATTATTTAGTTGCAGCCTTAAAGACCTCAACAGTTAGACGAGTCAGAGTCAAAACGCTCAAAGTACAAGGATGAGTTTAAGTTAATGTGGCCCACAAGAAGTCGGAGGTATTTTAGCCCGCTCTAAAAGTTACACAGAGAAACACTTAGGGTAACAAAACTAAGTCACAATCAGAGGATTACTATGAAAATATATCATAACAAGGCAGCACTGAAAATAAACCAGGGGCCAGACACCCGGCAGCCATTCAACCTTACTCTAAATCAGCTGCTAGTGTTCAGAGAAAATATTTAAAGCTGGTCTTGGCATTTTAAGGAAACTACACTTCACTTCCTGTCTGTGAGGAATCTTTGACCTTTCAGAAAGTAACGTTTCTCCTTCCCTCATTTCTTTTTTTGTCGAGTAACAGACCAACTCTTTGCTGAGTCGTTGAATTCTGAAGTGTCACATGATACGAGGGCTGGAAACAGGAAGTGGAGTCCAGTGTCTGACAGGTGCTGACGGGGCTCATATTGCACAAGGGTTGGTCAGATCGTCAAACACAGTCGGCTCCTCGATCCCTCGTGCAAACAGCTTGATCAAGTTGCTGTGCACTCTGGGAGAACAAGACAAAAAGAGAAGGCGTACATATGTTAACTAATAGATATCTACATACAACTTCCCCAGTTAATGACTTCCAGTTAAAACCATTTTGTTGTATTACAAGTTTTCAGAAATGTTATTATTAAAGGGACCTGTTATCCTAATGGTCTGGCTAAAAAGGTATGTATTGTTAACACTTTACAAAAGGTGAAAAGTGTTATTGAAAAAATCTCACTATGACACCTCCATAGTTGATTATCTTTAATAGGACAGTTATCTTAACATATTGTGTTAGAACACTTGAAAATGGGGCATTATATACAATTCTAACTGTTGGTGCATTTAGGAGAAATCTGCACATGCAAATTTGTAAAATAATCATTTATTATGTGTCATTTAGATGGTATGTTTTTCACCAGCTAAGAATAAGGACATGCTATTGAAGCCTAACAGCCTTACCTCTCATTTTTGTTTTAAAATATTTGGGAGTATCAACTTCAAAAGGCTCCCAGTGGGTGGTGGTACCTGACGTCGATGGCCGTGTGGGACAACATTAGTAAAATAATCATTTAAAATGTGTAATTTCGATAGTATATTTTCCACTGTATGTATAAATGTGTCTGT